ATCTATAAAATGCCAAAGTCATTGAATAGTCAGTCAGAAACTCGTTACGTCTCTAATTAGTTTCTTTGAACAGGAACGGGATAATGAGGGCCCCTTTTTGCCATTAAATAGCGTTAGAGAGGTGACGTATATTGATACTATCAAATATAAATCTTCTGGGGCTTTAATTGGGAATATTTTTCCAGCGTATTGCAGCTGCACTGAATATTGGTATAACCACTGTGAGTAAAATCCAATGTAAAATCTCTCAAAAAGTTAGGAATAATTTAGTGTTAAATTCACCAAAGAAAAAACGTCCACATAAGAAGCGGGTTACGAATCAAGATCACCTTGATGTTAGCTCTATTCGCAATCAAATTTACGACGAAAAGTGAGTAGTTTTGTTAGATTGTGTTCATAATATACTATACTATCTATACATATAAAAATCGATGTTTGTTTGCTTTAGTGATAACAAATTTTACTAGACATGGTATGTCCAAGTAAAACGGAAGTTAATAGCGGCAACATTGCGACGTGCTTATGTCATTAATTTTGATCACGTGCATACACTGTTTAATTAATTTCACTATATATAATAAATATGTTCAAAATACATTGATGTGGCATTGGTGCGGCCAGCCTATGTCTATCAAATTAATCTTGAACCACGAATTCGCCGCTCTTTCGCATCTGTATGTAAGTAATCTGTGACCGTACTACCACAGGGGCTACTACCAGAACCTAGGGCTGGCAACTGCTTGAATTCTCTTACCTTACCTTGTGCTATCATTTCAATTGGCTCTTGCCCTTTCGTCATTGTTCAGCATATGTTAAACCATTTTAGCAAACAAATATTTTTTTCCTTTAAACTGTTTATTGAAACTATTATGTTCATATAGTCCAAGAGCCGGCAATACTAACGGGTATGTGATCGTTGCAATGGATAATTTCTACATAAAACAATAGTTCATAGTAACACTGTTTGAGAAAAGTTTTTGGATTAATTTTCTCCGCTTTTCCATCCATAGACGCGTTTCGACCTATATCAGGTCTCATCAGTATGACTAGGAAAAGCGAAGAAAACCAATCCAATTTTTCGCCTAAAGGCAAATGCAAGAAATTCGAAGAGCGAATCTTGATCTTAACGCCATCTAGGACACGATAATCAACACAAAATTGCGTGTAGTGTTGATTATCGTGTCCTAGATGGCGTTAAGATCAAGATTCGCTCTTCGAATTTCTTACATTTGCCTTTAGGCGAAAAATTGGATTGGTTTTCTTCGCTTTTCCTAGTCATACTGATGAGACCTGATATAGGTCGAAACGCGTCTATGGATGGAAAAGCGGAGAAAATTAATCCAAAAACTTTTCTCAAACAGTGGTACTTTTGGGTGAAACCCAAACGAACTGAATTTTGGTCTGCCTTTGGAACGTTCACCATTTTGCACAGCAAAATTGCGTGTAGTGTTGATTATCGTGTCCTAGATGGCGTTAAGATCAAGATTCGCTCTTCGGAGTTCATAGTAACCTTTAAACCAAATGGATGGGTGGCCTGGATTCTCATGGCCGTAAAGTTGTTTTATGAAAAGATACTTCAAGAACCATAAGCGCAACAAATAAGAAGTAGTATTTTGCGGTGTAGGGGGTTCTCATCATGTGCGGCAAACACTTTATTAACACAATTTCATGTTTCTTTGTTTGTTTAAAGACCTACAGCCGTATGCAAAATCCTCTTCACAGAGTTCTCTTTTAACTTTAAAAGTGACTTTGAAGGCTGTCACTTTCAAAAATTTGTATTTAGCAAGCAAAATAACGCGTGCGCTTGACTTTCAATGAGGGTTGCCACCATTTCCGGCCATCAAAATCGAGGCCACCCTATATATTATCTGAGAAGACATATTAAAAAATATATCTACTAATTTTCAGCTATTGCAACGATAACATTGTTCCTTCGGAAAAAGAGGGGTAGTTTACGCCCAGCCATCAAAGGGTTGCGGCCATGAGAATCGAGGCCACCTATCCATTCAGTTTAAAGGTAACTATGAGCTATTCTTTTATGTGAAAATTATCCATTGCAACGATCACATACCCGTTAATATTGCCGGCTCTCCTACTAATATGTTCACCACTGATCAGCCACTGATTTATCAATCTGACACGATTTTGACATTACCTGTTTGTCAAATAAGTAAAATTTTGACACATTACGGGGGATGTACCTATATGAAGTGTGTGCCAATAGGGAATTTTCATATTTCTCAATTGATTTTTTTTTAGATACTTCTAGTGATCAGATATTACATAAACCGAATTTTCGCGACGAACTACTTCCATGATTTCATGAACACAAACGCTTTCGCGAGAAACTCATGACGTCATAATGACTGTAGTTTGACGGAAGCATGGATGCAGCTTCTAGCCAGCGTTCAAACTCATGACGTCACAGACGAACTAGTGTTCGTCCTTGAATGAACTACATTCGTCGCGAAAATTATTTAAAGTTAAAGTTTTCTTTTTTTCCATCTTAATTTATACGTTGTACGAAAAAAAAATTATGAAATTCAAATCAAAAACTTTGGCGCGGAAACGCGAAATTTCAATATGACAGCGCTTGTGACGTCAAGATTTTGTAAACAACAAACGCAGCAAACGAACTCCTGCTGACGAAGTGCTATTTTTGTGTTATTCAAGTGTGTTAAAGATTGCTTTTGTGAAAATTGTCGTAATGGATGAAGAATATTGTAAAGGACTGCTTTTGTAAATTTTATTTCACTTGCATTTTCCCTATTGACAGGTTTGTTTACAGAATTGTGAAGTCAAAAAAGGTAGCCATCATGGAAGCGTGGGTTTTGGCGGGAAAATTTTTATTTCAAATGTAGCAATATTTTTTGTGTAACAAGAGCGGTATCAGTTAAATAAAAACTGGTCATATAAATATTATGCAATATAAACTATCGATTTAAAACAAACTTGGAAAATTTTAGTGCACTTGCAAGTTCCCTATTGCAATGATTTTCACTGTACCATGTACAGGGTGGGCCAATTTGGACACTTTCTTATGGAAACACCCTTTATTTTTAGAGATGGAAAAAAATGAACCCCCCACTCTGAGGCTCAAATTTCATGAAATTTTGATTGGTGCAAACCGCATTTTGATATCTTAAACCGTTTAGCCGCTAGAGGGCGATTCTTGATTTTGAGCACTAATGTGAAACCATCATAACTTTTTTGTTTATGAAAATTATTGATTTCCGTAAAAACTTTCTTGAAGCACTTTTTCAAGCAGAATTCAGTGACGTTCTCAGTTTTTTTCTAGTTGGTCCCAACGTTGAGATATTGACCAAAGTCTGGTTTTTTTCAATAGGACACCCTATATATTAATAGCTCATTAGAAAGCTCTGCTTTTTCCGATTTCAATGATATAAAGTTCGATGGGTTTATCTCTAACAGTTTTCGAGAAAAAAAATTATTTCGGTTTTTTTCATAAGAAGCAATGTGTAAGAAAAGGACTTTATATCTGGAAGGAAACTGAGAAAGGTCTCTTTCCAACACATTGTTTCTTATGACAAAAACCGAAATATTTTTTTTTCTCGAAAACTGTTAGAGATAAACCCATCGAACTTTATATCATTGAAATCGGAAAAAGCAGAGCTTCCTAATGAGCTATTAATATATAGGGTGTCCTATTGAAAAAAACCAGACTTTGGTCAATATCTCAACGTTGGGACCAACTAGAAAAAAACTGAGAACGTCACTGAATTCTGCTTGAAAAAGTGCTTCAAGAAAGTTTTTACGCAAATCAATAATTTCCATAAACAAAAAAGTTATGATGGTTTCACATTATTGCTCAAAATCGAGAATCGCCCTCTAGCGGCTAAACGGTTGAAGATATCAAAATGCGGTTTGCACCAATCAAAATTTCATGAAACTTGAGCCTCAGAGTGGGGGGTTCATTTTTTTCTATCTCTAAAAATAAAGGGTGTTTCCATAAGAAAGTGTCCAAATTGGGCCACCCTGTACAGGGTAATCCAGTATAAAGTGAACACCCCCTACCTTTTCGCTAAAAAAAATTTTTTTCAAAAAATCAAGATAGCCATTTGGTGTATTTTGTTTCTAGGTGTTTGAGAATGTTTTTCGAAATTTAATTACATTTTTCGTTAAAGCGCTGTGACCAAAAAAGTAATTTTTTTAAATGGAATAACCTTTATTTAAATCAATTTTTTAAACGTCCCTATTTTTCTCATTTCAAATATATAGTTTGTTTATCTTTATTTTAAACATTTGCGATATATTCTCACTTCAAAATTCAAATATAAATAGCCGAACAGGTATCAAGGTAAATCTAAATAATTTTACCTTTAATAAAGCTGCTGGTGATTATGTTTTATGATACCTTTTCGGCTATTTTTATGTGAATTTTGAAGTGAGAATATATCTCAAATTTTTAGAATAAAGATAAACCAACTATATATTTGAAATGAGAAATATAGGGACCTTTAAAAAATTGACTTAAATATAGGTTATTCCATTTAAAAAGGTAGGGGGTGTTCACTTTATACTGGGTCGCCCGTACCTATATTATTAAAAAAATTTTAAAAAAACTAGTGAGCATCCAATGAATGAGATTTCGATTTCTCTGCATTGTCTTACAGGGCGCAACCAGACGAATTTTTAATCAGGAAGTGTCCAGAATCAATATAAGCTCACAGTATGAGTTATTAGCAGTGGGTTCTACGTTTAACAATTATGTTTTTCGTAGGTACTGTTGGATTATATCCCCTACACTGTCAAACATGAAATATGATTCAAATTTAATTTTCAAAAATTTGCGTTATAGCTAGAAATATTTAGTTTTCAATATCAGCATTACATATTTTGCTGTTTGAATTTTCTTATATTTCGAATAAAAATGTATTCAAGTTTATTTGATATTCGATATTCGCAAGACGAAAGTTTTACCAATTGAATCATTCCCTTAGGAAACTTTAACATTAATACAAAAAATTAGCATACCATACCTTTAAATCACTCAAAATGGACCTAAGGCTCTTCATGAAGACGTTATATTTGACACTATGATTTTTGCTAATTTCCTTGAGTAGGACGTTTATCTTCTCCTTGTCGACTTCTTCTAGGTGAAGGAGTTCGGTTTTCAAACTGGGCAACACATTGGCGACATTTTCGTCAACAAGACTATATGTTTGCGGTAAACTCCAGATAAAGGCAAAGTTTGAAGAAAACAGGTCTGGCAAATAACTGATTCTGTTTAAAGACCATTCCAATACTTTTTCAATAAATTCATCGGAAAGTGGTGGTGAGTCTTTATCAGCCCTAGAAATCAAAAATAATCCAAACATAAATATGTATTTTAAGTTGCATTATGTATGGTGAATATAAATGTTTGAACGTAAGCCTCTAATTTTAGACCTGGTTATCAAATACTAGAGACTTGCAATAAAGTTGGTGGAAATGTCCCTAATTTCAATAAATTGAACAAGATCAGACAGTAATTTGGATAAATGCAAAACTTTTTCACAGGTTTTTCCATTGACTTTGAAGGCGTTACAATTATTGATAATCATTGCTACATACCTATTTGCCAAATATTTCCTAGCCAACGTTTTAGTCTCGTCAATTAAATGTATCCTTAAGTCTTTATTTTCAAATTGCCTTTTCAATTCCAAATTATTAAATTCCAATAATCGATCAGCCATCAGTTTTCCAGAATGTGAATTGATTTTTGATAAATTGAACTAAAAACGGAAGCCAAAATGTTTGAAAAGCTTATAATAATTTAATCAAGGTAATTACCTGATTAGATAACTCCTGAATGGTATAACATTTTGGCTTTAAATGTCTTTCTTGGTCCTTTTCAAATCCCCCACCAGAATTAACAATGAAATTTAACAAAGCCAAAGGGAAAATATGATTTTCTCTGTAGCTACTAATTTTAATGTCACCTTGTCTTTTACTTAGCTTAGTTCCATCCGGATTCATAAGCAGGGGTAAATGTCCATACTGTGGTGGATTCCAACCAAATGCTCTAAAAATAGGAGCCAGTTAATAAAACACTCGAGACCCCGCATTAGTTCTGAACCGCAAATATGAATCAGCCATGAAAACCCTATTGCTTAATATTATGTTTTTCATAATACTTACCTACCTATACAGGAGCAAATGCTTAGTAGTTGATATTTGCCATTCTACACCTCGAAGGACATGACTTATTTCCATCAAATGATCATCTACAACATTAGCAAAGTGGTATGTTGGATATCCATCAGACTTCATTATCACTGGATCACCTTCATTGAGAGATATGTTATAACTAATATCACCATATATCAAGTCGTGGAAGGATTCTTCTTTGTCACTTATCTGAAAATTATTAAGGTAATAGGTGGGTTTCAGAAAACAGTATTGATGATAAAGCTTACTTTAAATCGAATGCAGCTCGATTCACCTCTATTCATTCGCCTTTGAACATCTTCCTGTGATAAATGCCGACATTTGTTGTCATACTTTGGTATTTCCTGCGCTTTAACGGCTTCTCTTTTAAGTAACTGCAATCTTCTATCCGTACAGAAACAATGATAGGCAGAACGATTATTTAACAAGGTATTGACGTGTTCTCTAAAAACATTACCAAATAAGAACTCTAGAGCTATTTTCATATTGAACAAAAGTTCCAAATTCGCAAAATTTTTCTAAGGACATAATATGTTTCTTTTCTTGAACTACCTGTATAGTGACAATCTTTCAGATTGTAAATACGGTCCAAATGGACCACCAATGTTTGGCCCCTCATGTATTTCTATTCCAGCCCACTCCAAATCAGTCTGTAAAGCTTCTGTAGCTCCCTCCACTTTTCGGGTTTGGTCAGTGTCCTCAATACGCAAAATGAATGCTCCTTTATGTTTTTTGGCAAATATAAAATTGTAAAGCGCTGTTCTAAGGCCGCCGAGATGCAAGTATCCTAAAAATACAGTAAATTAGAGAAAATATCAATCAAACATGCTTTATTGTCCAAAATACTCTGTATGAATTGACAAAACTTTATAACTTCCTAGGAAAAATGACAGTCCAATATAACAGATAAATCATTCGATGAAAACTTGACTGTGAAGGACAAAAAATCTTCATGTTCACCTTTCACCTGTGAAGTTTAACAGATGAAGTTGAAGAGATGAAGTTGAAGAATAGTTGTAAATTTATGTAAGTATGCCTTTACGTTCTTAGATTTGCATTATATGTTTTGAATCTCGGTATTAAAAACAGGAAATCCCTGTATTTAATACCGGACCGGTATCCAGATAGACATTTTTTCAATACCGAAATCCTGGCATTGAAAATGGCCTTCCCAAATTTTTGAAATTGGCTTAATTTGATAAAGCAACTAAAAATAGAATTTTCTACACCCTACAGACGCTTTTACATTTGATTGGGATTATTTTTAATACGTCATCGTTTGGCGTTATGTTTTTCTATTTTTCACGTTTGAAGTGCCTGTATAAAACTTATTTTAGGTACCTCATGGATCTTTTTTTTTTAAATACATAACTTGTCCCTCGTTTAACACGTTCACTGCCATGAGAGTCGTAGTTAGTGCCTTAGAAAATATAAACTTTAGGGTCTACGACTCGTCGTATGTGCCTCACTACGTATCATGCTATATGAGTCTGTGTTACTGCTGCAGTGTCACAGGCCGCCTGTATTTATATGAAACGATATTTTGTGTGGCCTGACGGGCCAGAAAAAAATTTTGCCCCACGAAAAAAATTTCTTGTTTGAGTGTTGCAAATAAATATTAGAAGTAAGCGATCATATTAGGTACATAACATAAGAGTGGCCTGGAGGGCTTGGTTCTGGTGATATCTCATGGTGGCGGTGTACGTGTTAAGATTGTATGCCCAAATTATTAAAAGAGCTTCATTGTATTTCTGGACGGTGTCTTTAACATAGTGATGTTGACTGCCCTGCCGAGATTAACTTGACAGACCCATGTCACATCAAATGTAAGTAAGACGTCAAATTTAAACCAAAATTGATATCTATTCAAAGCAGAACCAATAAAATGAAGCACACATTTGCCGAAAAAGCTTCCGATACAGGGGGCGTAAAGCCTATGTCCATTGAGGGACGGTTGAACACTGAAAGAGAACGTCTATTTGAAATGAGTGACGAAGAACGAGCATATCGCAATCAATGGCTCAAAGATCAGATATTATCGCCAGAGGAACCAAAACAAGTCCCAGAGTTTTATAAAGCGACTCACAATATATTTAAGAGATTTTACCGTTGGCCGTTAAATTGTCTCGAAAATGTTTTGGTACCAATAATTGGAGCTCCAAGGGCGAGCGTGCTAAGATGGATGATGGGCAAGACAGGCATAAGCATTGCTATAACGTATTGGATGTGGTATAACTTAAAATATAATGGCAATAATTGGGAGAAAAAAGGGGGATGGAGGGTTCTTGTTTCCCGCAAAGCTATTGTTCCTGGGGACAAAAATTATCCATTTGTTTCTGATAGAACTGTTGGAGCCGACTATGCTTCCAGGGGATTCAAAGAAGTTACTTTGAACTTGTAGATTGTATGTATTTCATAATTAAACTGATCTATTATTTCCATTACTCAAGTATTGTTAATAATTAAATACCCCCATCATGGTGCTTTATCCTTTTTAGTCAGGAAATATAAGAAGATTTGATTATACTTAATTATTGATAATACACTTTTTTTTTAATGAATGGAACTTGGAACTCCAATAAACTGAGTGTGTGTTCTTTCCTGATCAAATCTAACACTGTTTGTGAATATTTTGAGCAGATAAACGTTATTGCAGAAAAATTTTCTGAACAAATGAATGCATTTTCAAAAAAATCATGATTTCACCTGATTTTTTTTTTCGGCAAGTCATAACATATTCAGACCCCCGTGGGGAGCAAAATTGGAATATTAACGTGGTAGCAATGTGGTGTATGCTATTAAGAAGAAACCATCTATCCTACTCTTGATAGAAATGCACCATTTAAATTATTGGATATTTTCAAGTCCAGCATGGAGATACTAATTGCTCGAAGTCGAAGGATACGAGTCGGAATTAACGTTTCAACTGCCTATACGATATCGAAGGCGTATTCTTTCTAGGCAATTATCACTATTATCAGAGATCGCAGTGATATAAGTGAAAGTGATAGCGTTCTTTCAAGACCTATGTGGCAAACTTCGTTCTGAACGTAACTAATATAAGTGATCGGAAAAATTCTTTGTTAAGTTCAATCACTTCGAGGTATTTTGACGTTTATTTGAATTTGCCTAGGTTAAGGTAACACAAAACAAACCGACATTACTGGAGATAACCCCAGTGTGTCCAAGATAAGAATGGGATAGCATTGGGAGCTGGAGAACAGCTGGAGTTACAATGTTGGTTAAATTAGGAAAGTTGCGCGATTTAATGTTCAATGTTTATGTTTTCTGGATGATAGCATTTTATCCAGTGAACTCGGTCTTGATGGATACCTTATATACAGATGTGATAGATCAGTCAGAACCAGTACTTGCTTGTCTCAGGGTGGGGTGCTTATTGTAGTTAGGAATACGCTCTCCTGTCGCGCTCTAAATACTCCTCTCGATAATGTGGAATGTGTCTTTGTTCTGGTTTCTGTTGGCAGTCATAGGATCCTGATAGGGAATGCATATATACCAGGTGTCTCAGATGTTGATGTGTATGAGAGTTTAGTCTCTCTGTTCTGCATCTTGTTGATCAAACTGATTTTACGGACATTTTTTTGTGGGGCGATTTCAACTTGCCAAAACTGACATGGATCAATGGTAAGGATGGAACATTTCTGGTCGGAGTGGTGACAAATGAGGCAACTGTATTGTCTGATTGTGCTGCATATTTGGGTTTGTACCAAAACAACCAAGTTCCCAATAAACATGGAATTTTTTTGGATCTATTGTTTAGCAACCATGTGAATGTCAATGTCTCATTGTCCGACAACCCTTTGTTGAAGTTGGATGCTCCACACCCAGCGTTTGAGTGTAATTTCATTTTAGACTGCGTACCAAAGAATATGTTATGTGACTATTTTTATTACAATTTTAAAGGATAACGCACACCTAACATGGGATTTTTGGGCTCTATGGATTTTGCCCATTTTTTGATATGTTGTAGAGGATTTAATTCTGAACAACCTTTAAATGGGACGAAATCTTGTAGGTATTACGGTCTTTGAGATATGAGCGTTGAAAGATGAACTTTTTTGCAACTTTTTGTGTGGAGAGTATACGAAAAACTGGTGTTTATCAGTCAAAATTTTGATAGGTCGACATATTTCACGTCACTAACAAATGTCAACGTAGGCTAAGGCCAGGACCGCACTGGCGCCAACATTGACCATAGTGCGGTCCCAGCCTTAACCTACGTTGACATCAATTTTTAAGTGACGTAAAATATGTGAACCTGTCAATATTTTGACTGATAAAGACCAGTAGCACCAGTATCTCGTATACTCTCCACACAAAAAATCGCAAAAAAGTTCATCTTTCAACGCTCATATCTCAAAGACAGACTTAAGATTTCGTCCCATTTAAAGGTTGTTCAGAATTAAATCCTCTACAACATATCAAAAAATGGGCAAAATTCATAGAGCCCAAAAATCCCATGTTAGGTGTGCGTTATCCTTTGCAAATTTTGTCGACATGAATATCTTCCTATCGAGCTGTGATTGGAGTTTTATTGACAGGTGTTCTGATGTGGATGTGGCAGTGTCACATTTTTATGATACTCTGTATTACGCAATTGAGATGTACACACCAACCTCTCGATACACAGTTTCCTGGATGGATGAATGATGAACTGAAAAAATTGATCATCACAAAGAAAAAGGCTCATAAAAAATTTAAAATCACAAATTCAATTGATGATTACACTGTTTTTTCTGATTTGCGATCAAAATGCAGAGATACCTCACAATCTTCATATAAAAATTACATAAAAGAACTAGAAGGGCAGTTGTGTGACAAAAAATCATTTTGGAGCTTCGTGAATTCAAGAAAAGGGAACACAGAGTATCCACAGTGTATGAACTTCAATAAACAAGAAAGCAGTGATCCTCAGGAAATCTCGGAGATGTTTGGCACCCATTTTTCATCGAAGTACTCAGAGTATGTAGAATTTGATTCAGATGGAGATGGAATGTTTTACTGTGATAAATCGGTCTCACTTGGTGACCTCAAACTCTCTGTGATGGACGTTTTTGATAAGATTGATGATTTTAAACTTAGTTTAGGCCCTGGGCCCGATGAGGTGCCTATTGTTCTGTTGAAGAATTGTAAGTTTGTCTTGTCCGAAGTGTTATGTAAACTTTTCAATCTGTCTTTGAGTAGCGGAAAATATCCCTCATGTTGGAAATTGTCATATGTCACCCCGATCTTTAAACAGGGGAATAGGTCAGACATAAAAAACTACCGTGCTATTTCAAAAGCTTCATTAATTTCTAAAATCTTCGAAGCCATGGTTGCCGAAAAAATAACTCCACTTTTCGAACATATCATTATAAACGAGCAGCATGGTTTTATGAAAGGAAGGTCCACTGTATCCAATCTTTTATGCTATGAGCGATGTCTGTTGGAAGCCTGCGAGAATGGGGGTCAAGTTGATTCTGTTTACACTGATTTCTCGAGGGCTTTTGACAGTGTAGATCATGGCATATTGGTGAGGAAACTCAAATCCGTTGGGATCTTTGGAGCAATGCTCAGTTGGTTTGAGAGTAATCTTAAGGGACGAAGGCAGGCAGTAAAAATAAAAAACTATATATCCTCCGAATTTGCTGTTACATCGGGTGTTCCACAAGGTGGGCACCTGTCAACATTTCTATTTAACTGCTTCATTAATGATGTGAGGGGTGTTTTTCGTGTTTGCCAGTTTCTGGCTTTTGCCGACGATTTGAAATTATTTATGATAATCAAATCACTTAACGATTGTAAGCTGTTGCAGGAGGATCTGAGTAGATTCGCTGAGTGGTGCAAGGCAAATAATTTGTCATTAAATACAAACAAATGTTCAATTGTTACTTTTAGTAGATCAAAGACTCCTATTGTATTTAATTATGGTGTCAACTCAGTAGGGCTTGAAAGGCAGGTTTTAGTAAAGGATCTCGGTGTATGGCTTGATTCAGAGTTATCTTTTATTAATCACATTGACATAATTACCAATAAAGCCATGCGGCTCCTGGGATTTGTCTTTCGAACTCTGCGTGGGTTTGAGAATATATATACTTTTAGAGAGATTTATTGTGCATTGGTTCGCTCTGTTTTGGAGTATGCAACATGTGTATGGCATCCTCACTATAATGTGCATGTCAAAAAGCTTGAGCGGGTTCAATATAAGTTTCTTAGTAGAATTGCATTTAAATTAAACGTCCCGCATGATCAAATAAATTATAATGACATTATGAGAGTACTTGGTATTGCATCACTTGAGAATAGGAGAAAGTATTTTGATATTATAACCTTTTACAAAATTATTAATAGTATTATAGATGCACCTGACCTACTTGCGGCGGTGGGCATTCGTGTTTCGGCTGTAAACGCCAGGAATAATAGTTGTTTGTTTTACTAAGCAGAAAAGTACAAGATTTAATGCCGCGGCTGGTGTTTCATAGCCGAGGCTAGGAAACCAGCCGAGGCATTAAATCTGCTTTTCTGCCATGTAAAACATATAATTTTTTATCCGAATGTTCAAATTCACACATGGACATCTTTTTTATATTTATTTCATTCATTAATTTTACCCAAATAATTAAATTATTTTGACAATTGTCATTGTCACTATCAATATCAATTACCAAATTGAGTGAAATTATTACCTGGAACGTTGTGACACTGTCACTTTTAATGCCTAGGCAGTAAAAATACAACTTTTGATCCTGTCAAGTATCATTAAAAGGCCGCTTTTACTGTCATTCGGAGAAAAAGAGCTTTTTGATATTGAATTCCATAGAACTAATTATGGGATGAATTCGCCTCTGAATAGAATGTGTAAACTAGCTAATGATGTGATAAAGAAAAATGATCTTGATATATTTTGTGATTCGTTTAGTAAATTTAGTAGCAAAGTGAAGAAGAGCTTGTATCTTTAAATGTATATTTTGCCATCTTGAAATAATTTTTTGTTGACTGATCGTATTATTTTATCTCTATGTTGTGCTTTTTGCGTTATTTTTAAGGTTCTGTTTGTTAATTAAGATTGTCATATTTATTTTTTGTTTGACTGTAATTTATTTATTGTAAGATTTTGACTATTTGTAGAATGCTTTTTGCGTGAATAAAATTTTGAATTTTGAATTTCAATAAAATGGTACTTTGACTGAAGGGCTACAAAATTTCTTCCTGGAACATCCCCTTAAAAGTAGTTTTTTTTTTATTTTTCCGAAACTTACCGCTTCCGGGCTTCCGCCAGGGTGGGGCTCTAAAGTTGAATGACCTTGAGAAAAGATGTTTTGAGAATTTTTTTTTTCGACCAAACAGTAAAACGAATTTACCACAAACTATGCAGCAACTACTCATAAATAATTGGCCGATTTTTTGGTATAAGTTTTATCTAAAAACATTCACCCCTTTCAGATATACAGAGTGTCCCACGAGGTTTTTCCCAAATGATAACTTCGGAACGCATCATCGTATGTTCCACTGTATAATTTTTCATCATTCTCTTTAACAAAACCTTAACAAATATGGCATTGCCGATTTTGTAATTTAATTTTCTAACAAAAAATATCATAATATACCATGGGTTACATTTAAGATTCGAAAGTTGACATCACTTGCACAAAAAGTTACCCAGATCCTCAAAATTTCAATAATATTGGATGACGCGTTCCGAAGTTATTAGGTACCTGGGAAAAACGTCGTGGGACACCCGGTACAGGGTGTTGAAATGTAAACAACTCCATCTCATATCATCTGAAGGGCTAATGCTAGGCTGTTCAAATTTTCAGGGATTAGTGATGTAGAAATGATATGCACCCCCAATTTTTACCTGGAACCACACCCCAAAGAAAAATAATAATAATTCTCGCACACAATGCCCTCCATGTGAATGGTTCAAATATTATTTTGTGCACACCTCCGACATACATGCATAGACACCAACAGCATTTTTCTAGTACAACCCCTCTAGACAGAAAAAAACTCGGAAAAAAATATTAAAGGGGTAAATTTTTTTATTTTTTTTTTTGGCTTTTTAATCACATAGGTCAGTAACGCACTAAATAAGCTCTCCAAAAATATTTCTACTTACTGCTACATCCCCCGGAAACTACTCCTGCCCTTTATGGAAGTTGTCGCAACCACTATTTCGCGATTATTGATTATTTCGTTACCTATGCATTGTATGGGAAGGAAATTTATACGAAATTGAAGACCACCACTCTACAAATAGGGTCTTGATGCATGTGGCGTCCCAAAGCTCAGCAATTTAGAAGCGGATTCCAGTTTTATTCCATTCAGGCAAATGAATAAAGTGTAGCAAATGCTTTTACTTCACCTGTCTTTTTTTGCTGCATTAAAGCTGAATATGTTTATCTCAAAAAACTTTAAAATGCTTTACCTTAAGTTTTTTGAAATCAACATATTCAGCTTGAATGCAGCAAAAAAAGACAAAGGTGAAGTAAAAGCATTTGCTACACTTTATTCATATTAGCCCAGGAACAATAAACAAATTTTTCCTCGAGAAAGGAAATAATTTTTAACAAGCTACAATTTTTTTTACAGGTAGTTAAAACCATTCTTATTAACATACTAAAAGTCCCAAAGTCTCTCATTCTGGGAACCCTGAAAAATCTTGGCCGCCATCTTGGTTTTTTCAGTTATTTGTAAATAACTCGTTAACAGTGAATTTTTTTGGAAAAAATGTGGAATACTTTTTTATAGAAAATTGAAAAACACACATTTTAGTTTTTTAATTGTTTCGATAGCGTAAATTATAAAAAAGTTATGGCAATAATACTAGGATCGAAAATTTTTATTTTTCAGATTTTTCAATTAAAATCACTAATAATGCTTTTTTAACCCTTGCAAACAAAATTCTGAGCTGTTCTACAAATAATGTTTGTGCCAAATTTGAGTCAATTCTGATGTGAAGATTTTTTTTCTGTTCCAAAACTGTTTTTGTAATTGATGGAGGATTGTCCCTACATAGAGTAGTCTGGCAAAAACCTGCAACCTACCATGAAATATGTCTTCAATATGGTAATTTTGCACTGCATTGTCATACACAGAAATGTTTTATTGTTTTTGATGGTTATGACAGTGACATTATATCTACAAAAGACGCTATACAACAATTTAGATCTCAGGGAAGTGTAGAAGTGTCAGTAACTCCAGATTCAATTGTTGTCATTTCCCAAGCAGACTTTTGAAAAAACAATAAAAACAAAGTTTCATCAGCATCTTAAAGGGATATTTACTGAAGGCAGGATTCGTAGTTCAGCAAGCCCAAAGAGATGCTGATGTTGATATAGTTCTAACAGCAGTTACTCAGAGTGAATTTTATAATATCATTACAGTTGTTTCTGAAGATATCGATGTCGCTATTTTATGGTTGCACCATACCAAAACATCAAACATTTATTTAATGAGACCTAGAAAAGGTACCAAGGCAGCTAAAGTAACGCAAATAAGTACATTACAGCAACAGTTAGGTCATAACATAAAATCTTTAATTTAATTTTTATATGCAATGTCTGGCTGCGACACTACTTCTTTTTTTTCAAGAAGTCAAAGAAGCAGTTATTGTCTGTATTTAAAAAAGATGATTTGCTCTGTCATAAAGCTTACTTATTCCAAGATCAAGATGCACTGAAACATGATCTATTTAAAATTGTCTTTGAATGCATTTTGAAATGGTATGGAGCTAAGAAAGTGCAGAAATTGAATGACTACTGGTATATTATGTATTCTAAAGTAACAAGCAGGCAAAAACTTGGTGCAAATTTTGACTTAGCTGTACTACCACCTACCAAAAAAGCAGCTAGAGAGCATATTTCGAGGGTGTACTTTCAGGTAAAAAAATAGTTTAAAGTTAATTTTAAATTATAGACTATATATTTCTTTCTTTAAGGTGCAAGAATGGTTAGGCCGAAATATCGATTCCACCAATTGGGGATGGAAAAACAAAAAAGAGAAGTTGTACCCTGTTAAAACAACAGGTAATGTAGCCTCCAACGACATCTTAAAGCAGATATTTTGCAATTGCAATACTCTTTGCCCTACAGGGTGCTTAAAAGATGGAGGATATAGAGGAATGTACCGAAATGTCAATCGAAATATGAAAATGAATGTAGATTAGAAAGATGAGCACATATTGCTAATAGGTATCCTAATATTTTTAGACTCGTTTTTAGATAAACTGACGATATAATACTTCAAGTCAGGACGGACTGTAAGAGACCCAAATGTTTATGGACACTTTTCTATTTGTTTTTCGGAACAACAAATTTAACCAATGCAAGGGATGAAAAAGCATTATTAGTGATTTTAATTGAAAAATCTGAAAAATCAAAAATGTTGTTATTTATCCTATTCTCGATCCTATTGAAACGATTAAAAAACCAAAATGTGTCTTTTTTAATTCTCTATAAAAAAGTATCCTACATATTTTCCAAAAAAAATCACCGTTAACGAGTAATTTACAAATAACTGAAAAAGAAAACCAAGATGGCGGTCAAGATTTTTCAGGGTTCCCGGAGTGGGAGACTTTGGGAGTTTTAGTATGTTAGTAAGATTGATTTGAACTATCTGTAAAAAAATTTGCAGCTTGTTAAAAAATATTTCCTTGCATTTGTCTATTGGTCCTGCCGAGGGTCCTGCACTATATGCCTGAGTGGTATTAATGAACCTGAGTCTGAGCACAGAGTGAATGCTTGGAGTATGAGGGCAGAGTTTGAGCTTTTACTGTAGCTTGGTATAAATAAACACTAGCTGAGCATTCGCTCATTTTCTGGCTTGAGCTTAAGTATCTTGAGCATATGCTCACACCTCGCTCACACGCACAGTACAGTGCGAAGTGGCACGGGGGTGTTTTGGATTCAGATAAGAAACATGTCTCAGCCCGCAAAAAATGATGAACTAGGAATTTTATGGTGTAAAATAGGAAATCCCTGTTTCAGTTTTCCAAAACACCTTTCAATAATGACTCTTTCTCTGGTGGGGCATGCTGTTGAATGCTTCTTGTTTTGGAACTCATTCTGGAGTACCAAGTGGTCTGAAAGGTGTCATACCAAATTCTGAATCACCTAGGAGAAGAGCATGAACTTGATTTCTACTGACAACTGCTCGGATTTGAGAATTGATCCAAATACAGGCATTATGAACGGAGACTGGCCAAGAGACATCCGCGCTTGTAAACATTTCTGAGCGGTTGCAAGTTGCGAGAAAATTGAGGCTGGGGAATATTTTTCAGTTGATATATTCGTCGTCTCCATGGGCAGCAGGCTTAAAAATGGGGATATGAGTGCAATGCTCCTATTGCACAAGGGAAATTGTAAGACTCTTGCCATGCAGCCTTTTCTCTCTCAAATTTTTCGTCAGCAAAAGGGAAATGGATCCAATAATCAGCTTTGGCTTTTTGTATCAGGTATTCTTGGAATAACTTCTGCTATGGCATTTGAAAAAGTTAGTTGGCGGACTCCTTATTGGGAAATGGACTAAGAAATAAAAGAACTTGTTAATTATCGATATTCAATATATTTATTATATCGAACACAGCGTGGAAAGCAGAGCGTGTGAACTCATAGAACTATGTATAGGAACTAACTCACATCGAAAAACAAAGAGTTACAAACCCTTTCTTAAGTGAAAGATGCCTCATCTGTTTATCTTACATCTTACATACAGCCACAGTAATTGAATTATCATTAACATATTTTAGTAAACACTTACCGGTAGGGCTTGGAGCAAATCGTACCCTAACTTTACCAGTACTGCAATATCGAAGGCTGGACCATGGGGCTATTTTGCCAAAAGTCATTTGACAACTCAAGATTTTTAAGAGCATATTTCACCAAAACTGGCTCCAAAGAAAACTATTCAGTTTCCAGCCTTGAATTTGAAATGCACTAATTTCCACTCGAACTCGATTTTTTCAAATCAGCAATACAATAAGGTCACTTGATACTTTCCTATTTAAATTATTCTTTTCAATACTGAAAAATATCAGCCTCACTTGATGGCAATTCGCATTGGTTAATAACAATTAAAATAATTTAATTATTAAACAATTTCGATTTGTTTTGTTTTGGGCCAGTTTGCCAGTTTGGTGGCCAAAAAGTAGGGATGCCGCGATATTATCGATATTTTTAAGTATATAGGCGATACCCGATATTTTGTATCGATTCTTCGGCCGTTCGATACTGAGATGTATCGGCAAAATATGCTCGTGTCGATATATTTTCGATCCGGATAATTTACCAATGTTTTTCCAGCTCAGTCTTTTCAGTTTTTTTCAAACAAAGTGTAGATGTGGGTAAAATTTTTCGTGCACTCAGGTCGGAAGTCAAAACAAGTAATGAAATCCCCTACAATACGTGCGTTCGTTATTTTGGTCTGTGTTCTCAGAGCTTGATTTTACCGTTCGTTTATTTGAAAAGTGTACTCGGTGCAGCCTCATTCGCGTTTGTTTATTAAAATTTTTGGCACTTTTATACAGCTTTCGACTGCTCTGTTCGCTTGCTGGTCACGTGATTACGGCTTCGCTAAGCTCGCAGCCGGATTACAATTTCACTTTCCGTGCGTTCGTTATTTTGGTCCGAGTTCTCCGAGCTTGACTTTACCGTTCGTTTATTTAAAAAGTGTACTCGGTGCAGCCTCATTAGCGTTCGTTTATTAAAATTTCTGGCACTTTAATACAGCTTTCAACTGCTCTGTTCGCTCAATGGTCACGTGATTACGGCTCCGCTCAGCCCGCTCTGCTCTTTGAGCAAAATACCGAACGCAAGGTTAGTCGACACGAGTCGAGCGTCCCGTCCCGTATAGGCAACATCAACGTTATTTCCGAGTCGCATCCTTCGACTTCGAGCAATTAGAATCCCCATCCTGCTCTTTGAGCTAAATACCGAACGCAAGTATAAAGTATATTCCATTTTTGTATGTTTGAAATTGACGTTTATCATGATTGACGTTTGTATTTTGACGCGTCGCTGACTCTAAGTGCGCGTGCACTTTAGTTGTATTCCTTTCACACCTAGGCGGAGCACCGGAACAGCTCCGGGGCTTCACTCGCTATTCCTTTCGAAAAGTGTTTGTTGCACCACGCATCTGTTCCCTGCAAATCGGGGGCTACTAAACACCGGAGCGAGTAGCTCGAGTGTTTCAAACACTTGAAAGGAATACAACTATTGGTGAGCGGTGAGCGGCGAGCGATGCGCGGTGAGCGATGAGCGTCGACGTAAAATATTTCAAACAGTGAAGTGTAGATTAGAGTGTGCACATTGCAATGAGCGGTGAGCGTTGGCGTTGCGCGGTATCGCATCGCGCCGCTCTGTTTTGGTTTTTGATCGAATTGCAAGCGGCACTGCGACACGCCGTGCGTTCGGTATTTTGATCTGAGTTCTCCGAGCATAAATTTACCGTTCGTTTAGTTAATAAGTGTACTCGGTGCAGGCTCATTCACGTTCATTTATTGAAATTTCGAGCCCTCTGATACAGCGTTCAACTGCTCTGTGTGCTCGCTGGTCACGTGATTACAGCTCCGCTCTGCACGCTCTGCTCTTTGAGCAAAATAACGAACGCAAGGACGGATAGAGTCAGGGCCGGCCCTACCATAAGGCGAACTGAGCGAGCGCTTCAGGCGCCAGACCTCGGGGGGCGCCTTCGACTCGTTCCTTGGTAATACAAAAAAAGGGAAAAGTATATTTTCGCTTTGAATTCTGTCTCTGCTTTTCTATATCATGCTTCTCTGCTTGTGAGCAAGCTTGTGCTTACTTAGTATGGGAATAACCTGTCCTGACGTTTTTTTGAGACGCGCACGGATCGCGGGTGTGGTGGCGCCCTTACCCGATCATTTGATCACGATATTTCGGATAGTGATAACAATCACCCGAAAGCAGTCCTTCAGGCGTTAGCATTTAATAATTGGCAAGATACGTTTCCTTATATCTGGACAGCTCTCCGTATTTTTGTTACCATTCCTGTTACAGTGCCGAAAGGTGAACGGAGCTTTAGTAAGCTTAAGTTAATTAAAACCTACCTTAGCGGTCAACTCTAGCAGACCTTGCGTTCGGTATTTTGCTCAAAGTGTAGAGCGAACTGAGCGGAGCCGTAATCACGTGACCAGCGAGCGAACGGAGCAGTTGAACGCTGTATAAAAGTACCGGAAATTTTAATAAACGAACGCGAATGAGGCTGCACCGAGTACACTTTTTAAATAAACGAACGGTAAAGTCAAGCTCGGAGAACTCAGACCAAAATAACGAACGCACGGAGAAGAGAAACCTTCAGATCTAGCCCTGCTGTCCATTGAAAATGTTATAGCTCAGATATTGTCATATGAGGAGATCTGGAGATCATAAATAAATTTGCTAATGCAAAAGTATGCAAACACACAAAAATTTCGTATTTTGTTTGTTCGATTTTTATATTTATTAGGCCCGGTTTATTTATATTCAGATAAACAACCAATGGAATTAGAGATTGCATTTTTATCGGTCGGTCAGATTGCATCTGACAGTTTATCAGAAGGTGCGAATAAACCGGCCCTAATGGCCGTTTCCACAAACTAGAAAGTTCTCGTGCGTCAGATGCTACGCTAATACGGTACCTACCGCTAACAATACGGTATTTTACATGGTATTTGATAGTTCTCGAGCACGAAGACACATAAATCCTCTAATCCCTTATTCTGTTTACATTTTGACAGCTGAGTTGAGTAATCTAACCCCACTTTTTTTGCTTGTTTTCTAACTTTTATTTATTCTGAAGATTCCTGAGCTTGAATAATTTTCCCTTGGTGTTTTTTATGGAGGAATTATTAGAAGTTGCTGTTTTAGCAGACATAAATGGAGCGTAAACTAGTTTTGACAGAGCATAGCGTTACGGTAAGGCGTCCGGTAAGTTCCGTTAAATAGCGGGCTCCGCTAACGCTTATACCGTAAGAACTGTCATACTTGTCAAGCGTTGTCAGCGTTACGGTATTTGAAATTTGAACGGCCCGAGAACTCTCTACTATTACGATAAGTATTTCCTAAACTGACATTTCTCCATGGAAAACTGTCAGTCTAGGGAATACTTATCGTTTAAGGCTTCCCGAAAATAACTAGTTGGTGGAAATGGCCATAAGTGTTATAAGTGATATTACCAAAGTGGATTATTGATTGATCCCATCAAAGAATGTGAACTAAATGTTAGTAAATAAGAGAACTTTGTACCAACGAACAGAAATGTTTTGAATTTTCAATTGGTAAGATAAATAGAGACATTGAGCTTTTGTTTGTTCCAACCCAGCAGGAAACCGTAATATTATCGTCAGGATTCTGCGCAAAACCCAAAATTTTTGCATAGAAACTGAAATTCGTATACAGAGTGGTTCCTAAACCGTTCTGGGACGTTTTTTTGACGGGTTGGAACAAACCTATTAAATTAGATAATGGTCAAAATCCATACTCACGTATGCGAATCACAATTAAACTAGGGGCGCCAAAGTCAGATCTCGCTCCATACTAAAAGTAGCCTCGGACCGGCACTGGATAGAGTAGATTGGAATGTAAATTGATGCACGCAGGCACGCTTTTAATATGTCTTTCCAACAAGATGCTATCGACAGGGAGTTATCAATTGCTGAGGCCCAAAATTCCAATCAAAAACTGTTTTATGGAATGATAAAAACAAAAATTACAAGAAAACTTAAGTTATCAAAAAAGAGTGGCTAGAGGTTAATTATTGTCGCTACTGTTTGGAGAGAGACTGTAGGTATTTGTTTTTACTTACCTCAAAGTTACGTAGAGTCTTTCAGCTGGTAAATTGGTTTCTTGAAATTGGTACAGTTCTTTCGATTTCGACGCCTGTTCTCTACTTTGGCTAAAATGTAGTCGAAAGTTTTCAGAAAACCTGGACGAATTGAATCGAAATCCATGTACAGGGTGTCCGAATTTGGATGGTTTTAATAGGAAACATCAATTTCTGAGCAAGATACAAAAAAATGAACCCCCCACTCCGAGGCTCAGATTTCTTGAAATTTTGAATTGTGGAAACCGCATTTTGATATCTTTAACCGTTTAGCCGCTAGAGGGCGATTCTCGATTTTGAGCAATAATGTGAAACCATCATAACTTTTTTGTTTATGAAAATTATTGATTTCCGTAAAAACTTTCTAGAAGCACTTTTTCAAGCAGAATTCAGTGACGTTCTCAATTTTTTTCTAGTTGGTCCCAACTCCGAGATATTGACCAAAGTCTGGTTTTTTCAATAGGACACTCTATATATTAATAGCTCATTAAAAAGGTCGGCTTTTTCTGATTTAAATGATATAAAATTCGATAGGTTCATCTCTAATAGTTTTCGAGAAAAAAAATTATTTCGGTTTTTGTCATAAGAAGCAATGTGTAAGAAAAGGACTTTATATCTGTAACGAAACTGAGAAAGGTCTCTTTCTAACTCATTGTTTCTTCTGACAAAAGCCGAAATATTTTTTTTTCTCGAAAACTGTTCGAGATAAACCTATCGAAATTTATATCATTGAAATCAGCAAAAGCAGAGCTTTCTAGTGAGCTATTAATATATAGGGTGTCCCATTGAAAAAAATCGGATTTTGGTCAATATCTTGAAATTGAGGCCCAATAGAAAAAAACTAAAAACGTCACTGAATTCTGCTTGAAAAAGTGCTTCTAGGAAGTTTTTACGGAAATCAGTTATTTTTATAAACAAAAAAGTTATGAAGATTTCACAGTATTGCTCAAAATCGAGAATCGCCCTCTAGCGGCTATACGGTTGAAGATATCAAAATGCGGTTTGCGCCAATCAAAATTTCAAGAAAGCTGAGCCTCGGAGTGGGGGGTTCATTTTTTTGTATCTCTCTCAGAAATTGACGTTTCCTATTAAAACCATCCAAATTCGGACACCCTGTACAAATAATGGAATTCTCCAATTATTAGACGACTTTGATTCAATTGATGCATTTCTTTCATTTACTTTTAATTAAAAATTAAAAGTAATCGAGCTAAACGTGGATTTTCAACTAATAACAGTTTAAGCATCAAAGTAGACACCTTGCTAGCTAGGACAACTCTGAAAACGCTCATAAAATAAACTTTTCAATGT